CTTTTAACACCTTGATAACATAACTAGATAAAGTTGTATAAGAGTGTTCTTCCATTTTTTGTTGATACTAGTTTTTATGAGATCAGTTAGTTGTATGACATACAACTTGACCACGCATTGATTGCAATTTTGGTTAAGCAATGAAGGGGTGAAACACACACTTTTCATCTACGTGGTGGTTAGATAACACCCACACTCTAGGATGTCACTATGTTGATCGGTCTTCTAACAAATGGAACCTTTATAATAAAAAGTGAAAGGTCGATTGATAAAGATGCTTTATATGATCGTCTACTAGGATGGATGCCTTCAACTAATATTTATAAGGGCAATTGCATCAAATTAACATGGATGGACATAAAACCCCCCAATAGATGCGATAAATGACCAATTATTTATGTATACTCAAACATATATATTACATATGTTTAAAGGTCTTATTTTCATAAGTATTGCTGGCAATGCAACGCCATTGTTATTTCTAACACTATTAGAGGATTTCTAAGCCATTCCTAATTACAATTATAAGGTCCATGCTTGCATATCTTTACTGACAATTATATAAATCATATCTAAAAAGAGAAGATAAATTGTCAAGTGTCTACTATTTCTTGAGATATAATTATTTTAAATTCTTTAATTGTTAGAGTTAATGGCATTTTAAATACTAACTTAAAATTGTCAATGTTGATTAATATAGTTCTGAGAGTATGTTCATATTAGATGTCTAAAGAGTTGAGGGGATAATATATTTGACACTGTCACCTAGAAACCACTATCTATTTGTTCTAAATAATAATAAATAAAATTGATTTTAATCAACATATTATTTATATAAATTGAATGAAAAAAATATACTAACTTTTCAGTTTGTCATGTTAGATGGAGTGGGGCTAACATTTCATGGTAAATCCCACTCATATTTATGAGTTAACACATGTCTCGTTGCATTACTTTAATATTGTTAAGATGCATTGCCCAAATTGTATAATGTGATAGTTTAGACTATCTCAACATATACTAGATTATATTGATATCGGTGATAAGCTGTATAATATTAGTTATCAGGGTAAGTACAAAGGGAATTGGTTGATGATTCATGCATCCTACATGAATCTTTGAGATGATAAAAGAGATCATGTTTTTAGGAATGTCATCCGATGATTGATGTAAATATCTATATGAGATTATATATGTCCATCACAAGTTGTTTCATTACACCTATCTGGTCACATTTCTCGCAATATCCATGCAATTCGATGCATTATGGCCTTGATATTTGAGATAGAATTGATTGTTATGCAATATTATTTTACATATAATATTTATTAAATACTAGATTAATGTTATTATGGATGGTAACTCCTAATTAGTGTTTAATATATGTCTACAAATGCATTACTTGGTATGGGAGTTTGGAAAGCAGCAAAAACTATTTGTAAAGGTGTTGATAAAATGGAACATATTATTGCCAACACTACACTCAATTTATGTTATGTTGGACTTCAAAAGGTTAGTGAGTCTGAGCATTTTAAAGTGGCATTAACAGAAGATGAGATTACTTATCGTGAGAGTGTTGGGGATATGGGTCCATTCAAGAGCGTCCTAAGCCTGTCCACAAACAACAAAGGCCTGTTATCAAACATCTCAGGCCCATCCATAAACATCTCAGGTCTATCCGTGAGCTTGAATAATATTGGTCCTCCTCACACCTACACGGATATTGTAGACCCATCCTCGAGTTGGACGATTGAGGTGATGCTCTAGGCTCATCCATAAGTCTTTCAGGCCTTTCTATGAGCTGAGATAATTATTAGATATAATTACATGTTATTATATATTATTAGAATTATGAATAAATGTATAGTTAGTTTAATTTTAATTAAATGTTATGTTATGCTAATCATGAGTTTAATTTTGTTACCTATAATTGAAGATGTTATGGGCTGCTTATGTGAATTGTGTTTTAATGCAAGAAAACTAGTTAATTGAATTGTGTGAATTGTGGGTTTTTTGGGATAGAGTTAATTGCAGAAGAAACTGCCCCAGGATGAGTATTTTATTTGAGTCATAGATAATATTTGCGACTTGAGTGTCACAATTGTCATTTGTAACTCTCAAGTTATAAATGAAGAATGCAATTATTAAGTCACATATGATATCTGCAACTCTCGTGTTGCACATGTTATCTACAACTCGATCAAGTGTACTAGATCCCTAAATATTTTTTCACATGAAAACCCATATTAATAAAAGCTAAAACTCTCAGAAAAACATTGTTTAGTCAAACTCAATTGCATTGTTCATTGAAAAAGTTTAATAACAATATTAACCTTCCCATCAAAAGGTTTATTAAGTTCTTTTTATAAGGCTCATTAATCATTACAAAATTAATTAAGGATAATAAATAAGTCTTTTCATATTTTAAGAGTATAGTGAAATAACCAAAATACTATTGAAAACAAAAAAACTTGAAACTAGAAATCCAAGAACTTTTTAGTATTTTCACATTGATTTTCTTGTTATTATAAAGTTAATTGAAGGGGAATTTAGTATTTAAACAAATATAAAATATAATTAAAAAATATGATTAGCGAGTAGGAGATGTCCAAGCCTATTAGGTGACATGTTCAGTATCTCCCAACAGCCAAACAATAACTTTCATCATGTCATTAGAAGCTCCGCTGCACTTTCTTCCTATTAGGGCAACATGTATCAGAGGTGGTGTGACAATTTAATGCTAGTGGTGCTTTCTTCCCTTTTGTTTTCTCTCTTTTCTTTTTTTTTTCTTCTTAAAATTCATGTTAGTATGCAAAATTTTAGAGTTACCCCTTTATTTAGTAAGATTTCAACTTTGTTTCTTATTCTTTTAATTTTTGTTCTTAACTCTTTTGTGAAATTTTGATTTACTTTTAATTTTATCTTTCAATCTCATTCTTTTAATTATTATTTTTATTTTTGATCTTTTTATATATATTTTTTTCTAATTTATCTTTCAATATTTATTGGTTCAATTCACCCTTCAACCATAAAAAAAAATTATCCTTTAATTTATTTTTTATTTCAATGTTGATCTTCATTCTTTTAATTGTTATTTTATGTTTTGGATTCTTTTGTATAGTTTAATTTCTTTTCTAATTATATACTTTAATATTTAATTAGTTGGGGATTAAACTTTATAATTTCTTTAAGTGTGGTGCTTTCTATCTAATGATCTAAAATATAAGTTTGAAAAGTTATTACAAGTTGATATTATTTTCTCTAAACTATAAACACACTAAAAAAAAGCCATGGCAAACCATTTTATAAACTTAAAGAAGAATACTTGTTTGCTTCAATAATTAATTATGTATTGACACTATATACAAAAGCTTGGTAATAATTTTTTCATTAATATTGAAAGAGAAACGAATATCTATAATTATTCTTTTTATTTTTTTATTAAACTAAGAACCCATGGCAAAAAAATATATGTTTTTCTTTTTTGTTAAATTTTTTTTATTAATAATAAAAGGAGGGGTTATACTAGATTTTTTTTCCAATAAAATTTAAATTATTTATTTTCTAATATTTTTTTATTGTATAATTAAATAATTTTTTTAAGAGCTATCATCAATATAAGATCATATATTTTAACATGTATCTTTATCTTAATTTTTTGATTTAATCTTTGATTGAAATTAACATATTTATTATTATTTATTAGCATATATAATTTTTCATTTATTTTATTGAATATAAGTATTATCTATTTAGTTTATATATTTTTAAAAAATTAATGGTAAAAAAAATGAACAACACTAACAATTTTTTACATTGACTAAATTTTTTTGCTTCATATATATGGGAAATTAAACTCTTATCATTTTAATTTTATTTGAAGAAAAGATAAAACTTTAATTTTAGAATGTATTTATTTATGTGGTGCTTTACATAATATATACATTATAAATGAAAAGATACGTAGGTTTTATTTGTTTAATAATATATTTGAGATTGTGATAAAAATTGTTTTTTAAAGTATTTTTTTTGAAAGCATATTAAAATATATTTTTAATATTAATATGTTAAAATAATTTAAAAATAAAAAAATAATTTAAAATTAAAAAAATTTAAAATGTTTTAAAAACACAATCCAACCACAAAATCAAACCCTTTATTAAACTGTGGGCTCTTGCTTTTTGAATAGAAAAAAATATAAATTGATATTTTTCAATTAAATAAAAACAAAAGAAACAACCCATACAAGCAGGCTTTATCAAAGATTGAAGAAGTGTTGATCAAATAATAAAGTTTAAGTCTTTTTTTTTTAATTTTTTAATATTATTTTATTATTTTAAGATACTAATATAAAGAATAATTTTTAAGAATATAAATTGATATTTTTCAATTAAATAAAAACAAAAGAAACAACCCATACAAGCAGGCTTTATCAAAGATTGAAGAAGTGTTGATCAAATAATAAAGTTTAAGTCTTTTTTTTTTTTAATTTTTTTAATATTATTTTATTATTTTAATATACTAATATAAAGAATAATTTTTAAGAAATATTATTAGATATATTTTTAAATAAAAAAAACTTTTAAACAGTTCACCCAACGTTAAGAAATGGGATCTCCCGAAGAAAAACAGTAAGATGGAGGCTTTTATATAGGCATCAGTTTCGAGGTTCCCCTTCACCATGGGCGGCGTGATGCTGATGCTTTATATCATCATCAATTGGGACCCACTCCCGACAAATCATCACTCACCCCAATCTCACCATCCACGTGTCACAAATCCATCACCCCTTCAAAATCCCAACAAAACCCCAGCCCATCGACCTTAAAGCGAGCCGCACACGGAGGCTAAAACAGTAACTCAACCTAAACTCTATGAAATCCCAACCTTACCCCTCCAACCGGCACCACCCGGTAACCACAGACCATGACCGGATCAGGCTCCCACGAGCCAGTCACCTTATAAATGACCCTAGCGAAGGTACAAAAGTCCCCTCCTCATCCACCAGCAACATCACCTGCTTGCCTCTCTCCTCTCTCCCTCTCTCTCTCTCATAATCAGAGGATTTGAGACCAGGCCAGATCCAAACCCAAAACAACACGAACCTCAAATTCCTCACATATATATATTTCTCTCTTTTAAAATCAAAACCTATAAAAGAAACCCTCTTTTAAATTCTTCCCTCTCTCTCTCTCACTATCTTCCTTGAGAGATTTTCTTTTAAAGCTCGACATGTGGGTTCTAATCTTGAAATAAAACTTAGAATTGCCTTATTTTGGGCTTGATTGAGGGGTTTTGGGTTGAGAATAAAAGGTAAAAAAATTGAACTTTTTGGATAGATCTGTGTTTTTCATTCATTAATAAGGTTGGATTCATCTGTTTTGGCTTTGATAACGGAAGCCCAGATAAAAGACTCGATTTTTACCCGTTAAAACAAGAACACAGATATAAAAGTCGAATTTTTAGGTGTGAAAGGACAAATCCGCATAAAAGATCCAGCTTTTAGGCGTGAAAAGGAGGAACCCAGATAAACAAATCGATTTTCTGTGGGTGTTTTTGGGGATTATTGGGGTAGTGGGGAACAATAAAAGGAAGAAATGGCAGAGCAAGGGGGCTTGGAAGGTAGCCAGCCAGTGGATCTTTCCAAGCATCCTTCTGGCATTGTTCCCATCCTCCAGTAAGTCTGCATTTTCCATTTATTTTTCTTTCAATAAATGAAAGCTATTTGCTCTATCTTTGTCTTTTTGGGCATGCCTACATGTGTCTTTTGACCAAAGTGATATGAAGGATTTGTGGAAGCTTTGCGTTTTTGGGTTTGATTGCAGTTGTGTTTGTTTGATGTTCCTTAAAAGAAGGTTGTATTAGAGGTGATGATTGTATATTGAAGGAGAAGAAAGAAAGTGCGATTATGTTGTTTGTAATAGATTTTTGAAGGCTGTACAGTGTTTTTGATGTTCGGTGATCAGGTTTAGGGTTAAACATTGGGGAAGGCTTCAGAGGTGGAGCAAGGCTTGTTGACTTATGTAGTAATCAAAGGAAAGAAAAAAACTTTTTGTTTGATGGCTGTAAAGTATAGTAAATGAGAAGCGAGATTAAAGAAGTGGGATTTGTTCGCTGATGTGCTGTTGTAAATGAACCTTTTATTGAATAATAAACTTAAGCAGCATGCTTTTTTCTTTTTGTTAATTTCATAGGTTTTTTTTATGTGTTCTTGAGTTCTATTTTTCATATTGAATGAAATTTAAAGTTGAAGCTTCATGCATTTGCTTGCAATAGGAAGTTGTTCACTAACTAGCTTTTGACAATACAAAGAGAATTTTACAGGTAGAGTCAAACAAGTTTATGCTTGTCTCAGCTTGGAGGCATAAGAAAGAATTTAAATCATATGACGGATCCTATTAGAAAATTGCACGCCTGACACAATCATGGATCCTTCTTAGCTAGGCCACAGTTCCAGATTCTATTTTGTTTACCTTTGATTGATACAGCATTACGGTTTCCTATATTACTTTACAATGAGAAAAAAATAAATATACGAGATAGACAAATACAATTTTTCTGTAACTGCCAAAAAATTGTCCATAGTTACTTTGTAGTTTCTGAGCCATATTTACTTCTATTAGAGCTAGAGGCAACTTTCTAGGAAGTTGAGGGGCTTTCACAACTTTTTTAAGTTTTCATTTGGCTGCCAAAAAAGTTTTAAAATCATGCCTCTTGTCCTGTCTCGTATAGTTAGTTGGAGAGAGGTGCTTGTGTAAATTTGAACATCACCTCACAGCTTAAATCATGCATAACAATAAAGCAGTTTTACTTCTTACATGTTGTAGGTTAAAATTTTAATATGGTATCGGGAGGAATGGTGCTCAGATAAAGGAATTGAGCTGTTATGCATTGGAGATATTATACAAAACTGCTTTTCTCACATTCAAATTTGGCTTTGACTTTGTTCCGCTAAATTTGAAGACAAATGTCAAGAGTTGACTTTGTTGACCATATTTAGATCTGACACTTCACTGTCTTTTTTGTGCACCATTTCTTTTTTGGTTCACCATATTCTTCTTTTCCTACAAAATGATTCTTCAATACTGGGTAGTCCTGTTAAATTCTGACATCTAACTGTTCTTGTTTGAACCTTATGCTTCTAGGAACATTGTTTCAACTGTGAACTTAGATTGCAGGCTGGATCTTAAGCAAATTGCCCTGCAAGCCCGTAATGCAGAATACAACCCCAAGGTGTGCCTGTGTTTGATAATCTTCCTGATGCAAGCTCTGTTGTTTTTGGTCTATGTGATCCCTCATCTTTTATGCATGTTCATCCAGCGTTTTGCTGCCGTCATCATGCGGATTAGGGAACCAAAAACTACAGCATTGATTTTTGCATCTGGAAAGATGGTGAGTTATTTGCCTCTGAAAAGTACATTTATTTATGGCTGTATATTGCTTGTTACTTTCAAATGTATTCTACGCAGATTTGTTATTTTACCAATGGTTTCGAAGAATGTTGATTGAAATGGAACAGTATGACTTCAGTGTTATGTGATTGAAAAATCTTTATTCGGTTGAAGGATAAATTATAAATAGTTATAACTGGACCTCCAATGCTCTATGGTAATGAGTGTTAGAAAGTGAAGAAGTAGCACATTCATAAAAAGGCATAGCTGGGATGAAAATGTTAAGAGTCACGTGTGGAGCACAGGAAAGAATTAGATAATATTCAAGTGTATTTGCAGAAGGTGGTGTTCACATCTGTTGAGGTTAAATTAAGGGATGATTATTTGAGATTTTTTACCTTCTTCAGCATGTACTCGTGGATGCATTGATGAGGAATGGTGATTGGAATGAAGAATTGGGAGTGATGAGGGATTTAGGCAGTCTAAAAATGCTGATTAAATACTGATACAGCATTAAAATGGATTATAAAAAGTTTAGTCCATATCAAAACTATGGTGGAAAAAGAGGGGGGGGGGATTTATACAAAATAATTCCGGTCCATACCCTGCAGCTTATTCTGGTGATCTCTTGCAGCCCCTTGTCTGAAAGAGGTTTTTTTGTCTCCTGCCGTATCAGGTGTGCACAGGTGCCAAGAGCGAACAACAGTCAAAACTTGCTGCTAGAAAGGTATTGCTTTCATAATTGAGGAAAATTGTTAATGTTTTTTGAAAAAAAAATCTTTTCACAACGAAGGAAAGTAGATTTAATGTTGATTTGAACCATTTCTTTTCGAATAGAAAACCTGAATCCTAACTTTTCAATATTTTTGTTTCAGATGGTCTCTAAAAATTTCTTTCTAGCACTAATCTAGATTTCTGTCTTTCATTTGATAAACAATATATCACAACTAGATATTTGTTGTATTCTCCAACAAACAAATGCATTCTGCTGGTTTTCATAGATGAGCAATACTTAGACTGAAGTGGAATGGAGATGTGTTCGATAAGTAAAACAGGACTTGCATGTTTCTCCCTGAAATGCTTTTACTTTGACATGGTTCTTATTCAAAAATGAATATTTTGTTTTACAGTATGCACGAATCATCCAAAAGCTAGGCTTTGCTGCCAAATTTAAGGTCTCTCTCTCTCTCTCTCTATATATATATATATATATATATATATATATATTTCACATACACACAGATACAACACATATGTATGCATGTTCTTGAATTTCTTCTGGTTAGTTTTGTGTTGTTGTCTTTTGAAGTTCCCCTTGTGTTTACGTTTCCTCATTGCAACTGCCAGGACTTTAAAATTCAGAATATTGTTGGCTCTTGTGATGTCAAGTTCCCCATCAAACTTGAAGGGCTTGCATACTCCCATGGTGCTTTCTCAAGTGTAAGTAAAAACCATAATCTGTTGAACTTAGTGCCCTAGCAGGAAGACGGTTGCTTTAAAATGCTTTACATGTATGGGTCTTTTTGCTCATCGGAGTTTGAGGCATGCAGCGAGAATCTCTTTTTTACTAAACACTTTCAGCAGCTGTATTTTCCAAACAGAGCTTTAGGGTGTGTTTGGGAGTGCTTCTTCTGTTTTTGGATGCTTTTTAAAGGTGTTTTTAGCTTGAAAAAGCATCAAATTAATGATTTTTTTACTGATAGTTTTGATGTGTTGATGTTAAAAATAGAAAAAAAATCTGGAAAAAAAAATTCATTTTAATATATTTTCAAGTGAAAAGTTATTTTCAAAAACACCTTGCACCACAATCTTATACATACACACTCTCTTCCCACCTGAATTGTATTCTTTCAGCATGAACTTTAAAACTCTCATGTTGTACCTGCGCAAGTTTGAACCCAAAAGGATGTGCCATGCAGTGTGAACCTGAACTCTTGTGCTCTACCTGTGCAGTATGAACCTGAAATCTTTCCAGGCTTAATATATCGAATGAAACAACCAAAGATTGTGCTTCTTATTTTTGTCTCAGGAAAAATTGTGATCACCGGAGCCAAGGTAAATCCAAAATCTCATGTTCACTATCTCTGACCTGCATGCTGATAGAGTTTGGTAGCTGATAGTTCTCTATGTTCAACATCTTAGGTGAGAGAGGAGACATACAAAGCCTTTGAAAACATATACCCTGTCCTTGCAGAGTTTAGGAAAGTCCAGCAATGGTAAACCTCCCCATCTATTGACCTCTCTTCGATATCTGATTATTTGAGTCTCTTAATTTTGTATCATTTAATTCAATCAGGCCTAATCTGCGTATCTTTTTGATGGGTTGCAGATTTATATTTGAAATGGGGCTTTGGTGGTGTTGTGGATAGTATCAGATGGGGTGGATTCAAGTGTGCATATGTGAAGCCAGGGCACAGCCTTCTTGGCTCTGGTTCTGTTGCCGTCTTCTAATTTGTTTAGTCACTTGCCCACCAAAAGAAAGTGGGTGTGATTGGGGGAAAGTGCTCGCGCGAGGTGTAATTAAGAGCTGTAAGGGAGAAGGACGGGGGACTGAATAACATGTTTTTGTGTTTTAGCCTGTCGGACACTACACTTTGACGATTTTAATGCTGAAAACTTAGTTCCACTTTTGACATGAACTGTGTTTCTGTCTTCTCTCTTTCTTTATTACCACCACAACTCATGTTTCTTAGCTAGGATGCCTTTGAAACTTAAATGTACGGCAGTTGCTATTGGATGGAGAGGTGTTTAAGGGCATCAGAGATGTTTGTTGCTTGATTCTTTTTCAATGTCAAGTCCATGAGAGCCTGTAATAGAAATGTTACTGTGCCTGCTTTTTTTTTTTTTTCAAATCATTCGACTTTAAATTAATTTATTAAAAATTTAGTTTTATAATTTATTTTAATTTAATTTTTATTTGTAATCATAATTTTATAATCTATCGAATAAATTGATTAGGTTAATTAAAATTGATTAAATTAATTTAATATTTAGATATATAAAAAATTTAATATTTATTTTAAAATAAATTATATTTTTATGGGTTATATTAACAAGTTAAAGTTAATTTTAATGGAATTTAAATTTTTTTATTAAAAAAACATTAATAATGTTTAATTATTTTTTTATGATAAAAAAATTAATTCAACATAAGAAGCAGCAGGCACGTTTATCTAACTATAAACTAAGAAATCACTTTCTAGTTAACAAATACAGTCCAAAATTTGAAGAGAGACATTCTGTTCCGCGGAACAAAATCAAGAAGCAAAAAGGATTGCGAGTTTGTAAATTTAACCAGATTCAAAGATGGAGATATTTGAGGTACAGAGAATAGAACGAATACGCACGTGCGACAACATGTGGCAACGGTTTTTTCCAGTAAAGTGGACATCTTTTTTCTTTAGGTTTTGCTAGAAAGATTTTTCTTTTCTTGCACTTTAAAGTTTCCTACTTCAAGAAACCAAAACCTTGAAAGTTCCCACGCAATCAAGAATAGTAGTAACCTACGAGTTCCCACATTAGCATTTGAAAATTGCAAACAGCAAAGCAGTATTTTTTGTTTCTTGAACTATATATAGACTGTAGAGTAGTTGTTGATGGCTCAATTTACAGTACAAGGTCGCTTGAAGTTGCTGTTTGACAATGATGGGACTCACTGTAAGCTTCTTGGGAATGATTTTCTTGGTGGGTTGAGATCATCTCTGACCCAGAAGAGAAAGATCAGGTTTCTTGGTGCTAATAGTACAAAGTTATATGCTGCTGCTTCTTTGAGCAAGAAATCCAAGCATTTTTACACAGAGGCAAGTCAAAGTGTTAGCGAGGCTAGTGATGAGAGTGATGAAGATTATGACAGTGAGAGGGATGAATTGGCTTGCTTTAGAGGCCTTGTCTTGGATATCTCTTACAGGTACCTTATTTCTCTCTATTTACATGATTCTTGCACCTCTTTTCACTTGTGTGTGTATCGATTTATTAATTGTTTGTTTGACCAGGTTCATCATTCTAATATGAATATTTCTTTTCTACTTTTTGGTTAGTATTCTTTTTCTTTTTAATTTGTTGACTAGGATTCTGTAACGTCATGCTCTGGGTCTGGTTTACTGTACAGATGGAGTATTTCACTGTGTGATGGTTGAGATATCTGCTAGTTTGACTAGTGATTAGGCTTCTTGGAGCGTTGGTTTGAATCAGTTTAGCAACTCATGTGTTAGGTGAAGGTGTAATGTGATTGGAGAGAAGATCTCTTTACTATTAATAGGTTTGATTATGCAGTGAAAAACTTGCCGTAATTATTGATGAATATTTCAATAGGAGAAAAACTAGAAAGAATGTGGTTCAGCAATGCGCTGCATCCAAAAATATCGAAATAGAGTTATATTTATAATAAATTCTAAAATGTCCTGGAAATTCTAACTGTCCAAGAAGTATTAATGATTTTTTTCTAATACCTCTTTACCTATGAGCAACAAACTATAACAAGTTGTTACTTTGTATGCTGCATATATAATCCAGACAGTATCAAACAATTCTTACTCTCTGTTTTTCTTTTTTTCTATCGTCTAGAATTGAACCAAAAACATATAATAATAACAGTGTATTCTGTGTTGTGGCACATGCCAATCAATTAAATGTGATCTGTATGAATATCTTGCATTAAAGCGTTGCCTTTGCGGTAGAATCCCAAGATGGGATGGGAATGAGTAGTAGTGTTTGTGGACCTGTAATCGGAGGTGTAGTCTTAATCGAAGAAAATTAGTTTCGAATGTTCACAGCTTGTAGTTTGCAGCAAAAACAACATTTTGGTTAAAGCTGTATTCAGCACATGTTTCTTGAAACCTCGCCAGTGCATGATTAATAACCTTCTGCAGATATCTTAGTGGCTCGTTGTCCTACTGACCCCATTTCTCTTTGTTGATTGGAGGTTTCCAAATAACTTCCGTATCCTCCTTCCTTTCCGCACTTCATTTCAGCATCACTGAACAGGAAAGAAAGATAGGAAGCTGCAAGTTCATTTCCGGAAGTGCTTGATACAATTACCACTTTTCTTTTCCTTTTCCTCTAGTTTTTCTTTCTACCAATTTAGAAAGACTTGGATAGATATTTGTATATGGATCTGACTGTTCTTGTCCTGCACCAGGCCGGTGAATGTTGTGTGCTGGAAGCGTGCCATGTGTCTGGAATTCATGGAGAAGGTTGGCCTGATGTGTAAAACTAATACACTTAGACATGTTAACAGCAGTCATATACAGTTTCTAGTTCATGGTTGCTGCTTATGCCATTATTTTCTCATGCAAATTTTGTATCAACCACTAGGAAACCTAGTGAACACGACAAAGCAAATTAGTATTTTAGCATATCAAAGAATGATCATGTAGGATGCAGCGATGCATGAGAAGCATTCTGGTTCATGATATGATTGCTTTGACTAACTTGTTTCTCAAGCAATACCACTTACCCCAATACCTGTAAACCTATTGTCACTCAAAACATTTTATTTCGTAGATGAACAATGCCCACCACATTACTCAACTCACGCACTTTCTCACAACTGCATACAAGCCGCGTGTTACATTTGGTTTCTAAATTCTTTAGCATTCTGTTTCCAGGCTGATGTACTAGAATATTATGATCAGACAGTAAATTCCCCAAGCGGATCCTTTTACATTCCAGCTGTATTAAGGGTAGGCATTTCTCTTTTCACCTCTTGCAGTTCCTAGATAGATTTATGTTCTCTCATCATTTTCTCTTTTCACCTCAAACACTTCCAGCCTTTTTCTTACTAAAAGCAGCTTCTACTGCGTTACTTGCATCCTACTCCACTCAAGCTTATCTTAAGCTTCTGCTTTCAGGTTCCACATCTATTGCAGGTTGTTAAGAGAAGAAGAATATTCAGAAGCAAACTTAGTCGCAAGAATATACTTCATCGGGACAACTATACTTGTCAGTAAGTAACCTGCAACACATTAGTTCAAGTTCAGTCTATTGCGACACAGACACTGAATTGCTGTGTGTGATGGAATTACATATATTCTTGAACAAGAAACTCCATCCAAATAGCTTCTGGAAGCTCATTTCCTAGAAGTAGATTTTTCCCTCATCCCAAATGAATTGGCTTATTTGAAAACCGCCTTGCATGTATATCTGCTTTAGTTAGATTATGATTTGATCTCTGTAAGAACAGGTTACTCGACATCAATATATACCATAGGACTTCTAATTTGTTTGAGTGTTATCACCTCCCAAATCCGAAGTCCATGATATAGGAAGTGAAGAAAACATGCTCAAGGTTTAAATTGTCAGTCAATGACAGAAAATCTCAATTTTACATCCAGAGTTATAAAGATGGAGCTTCTATTTCTTTCTTCACCATTTCCTAGCCATCTGATCCTTCTGGTGTGTAAAATGTGGATATTGATCAACAAGTTGTCGATAAAGATCACATCTATATTGTCAGGTGGGGACACAAAAGGGTTCAAAGGCGTATCGGAATTTTCATCTGTCATCACAGATTATTTTCTTCTTCACTTTATAACCAAAAGAGGAAAAAAAAAAAAAATAGTATTTGGCATTTTTGATGGATTTACGAGTATATTGTGATCCACATCACCTTGAAGTGCTTCTTTCAGATTTTTATTTTGTTTCCACAGTTTCTTGTTACTTCCTGAAGAAATATACTAGTGGCATGCACGATGTCAATGCCGTTATTTCTTAGTGTCTAATATAATGCTTCCCTAAATTGCAAGTAGGTACTGTTCTTCCCATGAGAATTTGACCATTGACCATGTTCTGCCAACTGCGCAAGGAGGGGAATGGCAATGGGAAAATCTGGTAAGATACTTTTGCAAGTCTAGGAAAACTTTTATTTTGATGCGAACTATGGCTTTTTGAAAAAAGGAGCTGTACACTGATGAAAATAGAATACAATCTAACAGCTGCTTGATTGTCCTTGACTTTCCTTTTCTTTTAATCTATTCTTTTGAACTTATTGGGATTACTTTGTAAGTAGTTGCTGCTGCTACGATCGATCTTCAAACTAATTGCCAGATCTTTCTGCATGCATGATCCAGTATCTGTACTGATAGCATTTATGATATGTTTGAATAGTTGATTAATTTTCAAACTGGTGCTTTACCCTTTCCTCATCGGGTTAATTACAATTGGAACACATATATTATAAGCTACAGAGATGGCCATATAATGTATGGAGAACATGGAAGATCAATAGAAGACTAAACACTTTGATGAAGATTTACATTTTGGCGTTGAGGAAGTTCTTCACAGTTTCTGTGGCTTGCTTCCTCCTGTAACAGGTTACTGCTTGTGCCAAATGCAACTCAAAGAAGGGTCAAAAAACTCCAGAGGAAGCAAACATGAAGCTGAGTAAGGTCCCCAAGGTATCGTTTAGTTCTGGTAAATAATAAATGGTTGCAACTCAAGTATTCGTCCAGGGAAAGCTGGGATATCACTTGTTGTGGCCGTGAATAGCATGTTAAGGTGTTACCTTTCTCATTATGAACCAAAACCAGATGACCTTTGTCAATGAATATCAACGTAAAACTTAGCCAAACATAAGAAATATTTCATGAAGAGTTTTTACTCTTTTTTCTTGCAGGCCCCTAAAGATTATGACATACTTGCCATACCCTTAACAAGTGCAGCAATAAGGATGCTGAGGATGAGAAAGGGAATGCCTGAAGAGTGGCAACAATATCTAGCGAGGCCATCATCAGAGCCGTGACATACATTCTAGGTGAAAGCTGTACATTCTTGTGCTCGGCACATATGATTTTTCCAACACTTAGTGCCCAGGTTTTAAAGATGTATTCTGATGCAACGTAATTTGCTTTGTTTTTCTCTTTTCTTTTTCACCTCCATGTACTGGAGAAACTCATGTAAAGGAGGGCATTTATCAACAAAGCATCTTTTGTAAGGCAGTGGGCTCTTGTTTGTTATTTCAAATTTTAAGTGCTTAAACTCACGTTCATATATAAAAAAGGGTTTCGGCTGGTTTTCTGATAATCCTCCTCTGTGATGATTCTTCCTGGCAAATTTTCCAGAGCTAGATGTTTAGATGTGAATGAAGCTCTGAATATGAAGATGCTTGCTTGTTTTCATGCATCTTCCACTTTCTTGGTATTGTGAGGATGAAGCGAGTCCTCTCCCATGGCTTAAATCAATTTCCTAGATTTTATTCTCTGAATTATTCAATGTATTCAATGATCATATGCTGATTTTCATCTTTACTTGATGTTCTTGAACCCATATTAGTCAAGTAAAGCATGCGTGCAAAGGGAATTTAAAGCTGTAAATATTCCTATACTTTTGACTTTTCATGTATTGAGTTTGGTGTCTGTTTTTTTTTTAAATATTTATATTTTTAAAAATAATATTTAAAATTATATACATATATTTTAAAAAATAATAATTTAATAATTTTTAGTATTTTTTTAACAATCAGGAAGATTGTGATAACTTTTAAAGTATCTTTTTATTTAGAAATATATTAATATAATATTTTTTAATTTTTTAAAAATTATTTTTAATATCAATACATTAAAATAATTTAAAAATATAATTTTTTTAAATAAAAAAATCAAATCTTTTTAAAAAATAACTCACATCGTGTTCCAAACACACCCCCCTTCCTCGATACTGTCGGTGGGTAATATTCATGCACTAACAGCCTCTTTTCCCCCCCAACCAGCCTCTTGGCTCACAGGCTCTTACTGTAATTGCATGAACTCCTGGAATGAGGCGGCGCTGGGTTCAAGGAATAGGATGGAAAAATAGACACGAGATAGAAGAACATCATGTTAAAAAGGGAATAAAACTCAAAAATGTCTTTTTCGGAGACAAAAATAAAATAAATAAAAATAAAATTATTGTACCTTGTTCTTGAGTGGGCAAACGGGACAGAGACACTAAATTTAACAAAATAAAATTGCAACTTTGTCATCCAAAACTTTATGAAATCCCAAATCAAGTTTTTCATTAAACAATCTTTACCTTTGATTTTCATAAATAAATAAATAAACAGAATATATGTATATATATAAAGAGGAAGATGAACATTTATATGTTTTAAATCAAAATAAACATAAATGGATCCAGCACCATGCATCCGGTCTGTAGTTGTCCCACCTCCATGATCGGCCCTCTGCCTCGGTGTGGGGGTAAGCATGTTGTTGGTCCCTACTGCCATTACTCTCACAGCGACGCTGCCCTTTGCGAAGTCACTGCCAAAGCTACGGAAAAACATGTGAATTTTTTTAAAGTTTTTTTTATTTAAAAATATATTAAATTAAAAAAATATTTAAAGTTTTATGAATTGTTTTTAAATTGTTTTTTATTTAAAAATATATTTAAATAATATTTTTTAATTTTTAAAAATTATTTTTAATA